CGATGGCTGCAGATTGACTTCAAAAATTATATAAGTCAAAGTTGGTCTATCTGTGACATTTTGGGTAGTTACTCGACTCTCTAATCTCTATAGAATAGAATAGAATAGAACAGAATAATTTTTTATTCAATATTGATTATTACATGAGAGAAGTTCTCTTGCTAGAGGCCGCCCGTTCAGGGGCCGGGCATGTAAAGGTGTCAAGTTGCTAAGGTGTGGCCAGTTGTCTGCGTAGTCGAACATGACGCGCGCCAACTGGACCACAAATTCCTATATGGTTTCTATTTTCAAGTTGGCCGCAATGACGCCATTCCGGACGTAGCAACCTGCATCGACGAAGGTTCATAGTGACAAATTCTGCGTGGCCTGCAGTCGCCGCCTCTGTCGATCACTCAGGAGTGCGTACCAGGCCGGAGCAGCATGTGTTGATCTGGTTCTTAGGTACATCTTGTATGGCCTCAGTTTAATTTTCAGTGGTAGCTTGGATGCCAGAACGGGACGGAGCACCGCCCGCGTACCTCTGGCCTTGCGAACGACGAGATCGACGTGCGCAGTCATGCGCAGCATCCTGTCGATCCGGCATTCAAGGTTGGTCAAGGCCTTCTCGTACATGATATCTTGGCCCCTGAGCGTTAATGGTCGTGATAGATTTCTGAGACGGTGGGTGAGCAGAGCGGTTGTCTTGCCAACATTGACGGTTATCCTCTACTCGTTCAGCCATGGTGGAAACAGGTTTAGCAGACGCTGAATCCTGGCAATGGATATGTGGGCTCTTCTGGACGATGTGAAGTAGGCACTACCGTCCACGTATAAATCCAGCTTTACATCATCCTCCCATTCGCGCAGATATCCTACCAGATTTGGAATGTCGTTGGTGTAAGCCGCGTACAGGATCGACAACAGACAGCTGCCCTGTGGCACGCCGGTTCTAATGGGCTCGCTGCAGACTCGGCGTCCTCTACACAGACGTAGAACTTCTTATCTGTGAGGAATGACGCCACTAGCCGCAACATAGCAGGAGGGATATTTGTTTGTGCTTCCAATTTATAGAGTAATCCAGAGTGCCAAACCCTGTCGAAAGCCTTCTCTATTTCGAGAAAGAGGCCCAACGATGTGCGGCCGCAGTTATGCTCGACCGCAGGGTAGTGCAACACCCTGGTCAGCTGTGTTGCTGTCGAGTGGTCCCTCCTGAATGTGTGCTGTTCCGCCCGAGCTTGTATGCACGGGTGGACACTTCTTAGCAGCAATCTTCCAAACAGTTTAGCTATGTGCGGTAGCAGCGTGATCGGCCTATATCTGGCTGCTCTATACCAGTCCTTCCTGGGCTTCGGCAGTTCGATCACAAGTGATCTGTTGGGCAGCTGTCGGAGTGCAGCGTTGGTAATCTCGTCGTGTCCCGGCCCTTCTTTGGTTGCAGGCGGGTTGTTATTCTCAGCGCCTTCGTACAATTCACGACCCGGCGGGTAAATCACTCTGGATCCCCAGGCAGGATGTCTTAATTTAGTTGAACGAATTCACAAAATAACAGCTTCCTATCCTAGTATTAGAGCTACATAAAATTCTTTGGTTTTAAAAATCGAATACCATTTATTTATTTAAAAAAAGATTCTCGGTCTTGTCACAAGGTTTTGTCAAACTTGTTTAGTCGTTGAGAAAATGGAATTGACTCGAGAAAATTCAAGAGCGATGATTTATTATGACTTTCGAAGTGGTTTAACACAAAAACAGTGTGTTGACCGGACGATTTCTGCATTTGGTGATGAAGCCCCATCCAAAACCACAATTTATCGCTGTTTCGCTGAATTTCAACGTGGACGGGTCAAGTTCAGTGATGATCCCCGTCAAGGTCGTCCAAAAACTGCAGTCACCCAAGAAAACGTTGATGCTGAGCGTAAGCTGATTGAGGAAGATCGACATGTAACATACCACGAGATTCAGGCAATTTTAGACATTGGCATGAGTCAAATACCAATAATCTTGCATGAACAATTAGGTGTAAAAAAGTTGTTTTCCCGATGGATACCGCATTCGCTCAGTGAAGAGCAAAAAGCGGCTCGCGTTACTTGGTGCGTCAGAACTCTCGAATGGTTCCATGCAGGATCCTCAAATGCTGTATACAACATCGTTCAGGTAACGAATCCTAGATATATGCGTACGAACCCGAAACAAAAAACCAGTCACGAGTTTGGGTGTTCGAAAATGAGTTAAAGCCAACAAAAATTGTTCGTTCACGGAGTGTTGCAAAAAAAATGGTGGCCACGTTTGTCTCCGAAACCGGACATGTTACAATAATTCCTCTTGAGGGACAAAGAACGGTTAATGCAGAATGGTATGCTAGCATTTGTTTGCCACAGGTCGTTTCTGAACTCCGTAAAGAGAACTGCAACCGCCGCATCATCCTCCATCATGACAATGCGAGTTCTCACACCGCACACAGAACAAAAGAGTTTTTAGAGCAAGAAAACATAGAATTATTAGACCATCCGCCGTACAGCCCCGACCTAAGACCTAATGGTTCCTATATTTTCCTTAAAATAAAGAATAAATTGCGTGGACAGAGATTTTCATCACCTGAAGAAGCTGTGGACGCCTACAAAACGGCCATTTTGGAGACCCCAACTTCCGAATGGAATCGTTGCTTCAATGATTGGTTTCATCGTATGGAAAAATGTATCAAATTTTGCGGAGAATACTTCGAAAAGCAATAAATACATTTTTAAATAGTAATGTTGTGTCACTTCCTTGATTCCCGAAATTTTCAGTGCCGCCCCCGTATTCGCGAAAGAGAACCGCGCGCCGCGCGTCATTTCGACATAATCTAACACTAACTTTTACTATCGTATTTTTGTATAATTTTAATTGAAAAACACATACAAAAGCCTTATTATTATGATATTTACTACATCGCTATCACATAAAGACATATTAAGATATTTAACAAAAATACACTAATTTTACAAGGCATTTTTAAAGTTCTAAAACTTAAGTATCTTTAACATATATTTAAAGCAACAATCTTTATCAATAAACATGAATATCTTAACTAATACAATAGCACAGCTATCTCTGTCATTATAAAACATTATTTACTTACATATGCTATGCTATTCTTATCTAGACATTAATTATGTAACTTATCTCTTGTAACAAGAAAATAACATATTTTTAAATATAACAACTATCTAATTTAATATAAAACTTTTATTCGTACTACATAGCCGATTACTATATTACACATGTCTCTAAGTTAATCTATAAACAAACTTTTGTGGAATTAACTCTCGACCGGGGAATCGAACTCCGAACTTTCGCTCGACAATCGAATGTTCTTATCATTATATTGAATCTATTTACTTTTAATATAGATTATTATTTAATTTGGAATATATTTACTTTTAATCATAAACGATTATAAATGCAAATATGCTTGTTTCTATGAAATAGAAAATTATTTAAAGAATCTTTTAAGCGCGTCATCAACAAAAATAGTTTCCCTATTCCTCGTTAACGGCGTTGATTACGCATTTTTTCTACCGAAACATAATTTTAACAGAATATGCATCGTTTTGTTCCTTAAATTATATAAATGTGGTTACACTTCAACTTACTGTATTATTACTGAGATAATCTTTATATATAAAAATTACGTGTCACGTTGTTTGTCCGCGATGGACTCCTAAACTACTGAACTGATTTCAATGAAATTTTGCACACTATGTGCATTTTGGTCCAACTTGAGAGATAGGATAGTTTTTATACCGCTAAATGACCCTCAAAATGTTTTATTGCGAATTTAAGGATTTTTATAGGAAGGGTCGTTGGAAAGGGCAGAACAACGTCTGCCTGGCGAGCTAGTATAACTAGATGGTACAGTTTTGGCTTTCATAGTTTTAATTTATTACTAGCGCCATCTACCTACCTACTACTAAATAATCTAATAATAAGTAACTGATAAAACTAAAAATAATGCTACTGCACACTTACTCTTGCTTTATAAAAAATTGTCAGATTTAAAATATCCAGGCCGGTGGCCAATAATGGGATGATTTACCGTAATCTCCACGTTTAGCTAAATGACTATCTAAACTATTATACTGTGACTGAGAGAGAAACTCTTTAGTTGAATATATTGGGAGTCTATAGGAATAGCAATAATTTCACTAACTTCATTTGTTATCAAGTTATCTGATGTTTAAGTAATGGAAAATTAAGTGCATTGTCAGATTTTTATTTCTTTTTGATGGAATAGTTCGTATGCTTCTTGTCGATGGATGTAGGTGGACCAGGACCGTGCTTTGTGACATTTCTTGGGGGAGGACTAAGTTCAGCAGGGGACTTGTGAAGTGTTGTAATGATGATGATAATAATGATCATTCGATGACTAATTATTAAGTAGACGTGGTCCACAATCGAACAGAAGCGTCTCTTCAGCTTTTATGAATTTTATTTAAATTACGAGAGCTGTGTAGCTCGCTGTAAGATTTAATGGCACGGGAGAAAAACGTGTATGATTTCCGCGAAGCCTGAAACTAGTATAGCAAATTTTATGTGCTAATCTGCCATCGTTCGGTGAAGTGGTGAAAAATAACTTCACCGGGAAGCCTAGATGTCTGAATAGTAGTAAAAAAATGCGTGTGTATGTGAAGGCCGCTAATACGCATTGAAGCATTATGGCGAACTCTTTCCTGCCCACAAAACACCATAGGTAATGAGTAGTTGTGAGACGTCAGTAAGCTACTATTGCACTTTTTACATTTGATGCGACTTATCGTTATTGAATTATTGAATTATCAATTTCTGACAAGTAACTACAAAATAAATTATCTATATAATCTGATATGCATTTATAAAGCAAACTAACTTTATTTGTTTCCATTACTTGTATAGTGATACAAGTGAGTATATTGTTTACCTAAATTAATAATTAATAATAATAATTTATATTGTTTTTAACATACTTCGAAAACATTTTGCGATTTTTATAGATACGACTAATAATAATGGCTACATCTAACAAGAGTTTTCCTTTCGAAATTCGAGACATCGATCCTGAACAAGTTGAAAAATTGAAGAAATATTTCTCAAGTAAGTGTAATATACATCAAAAGAGGCGAAATCACTCAGATGTCAGATGAATATCTCAATAATACTCATATTTCGCCAATATACTTTTTATTTTTTATTTTTCATGTATATAATATGTATATAATACTTACTAACAAGGATGGTATAAGTATGTCTTGAAAATCGGATATTCTTTTTACTGGTAACGATACATTTTAACTTGATACTAAGAGACGACAACGCATCTATATTTGATTGTCTATGGTGGATAGATGTAGGCACAGAACACTATTACTCCTATGTAGGTGTCTATGGGCCACAGCATTAACATACATTAGGTGGGCTCAGGGTTCCTTTGTTATTAATATTTGTATGAAAATTAGTAGATGAAGGCAAAGTATTGGTCAGAATGTTTGTCACAATGCTAGTCTTGTGTTGTGTCGGAAATATATTTTAGTTATAATATACAGATGAGTCGATGCCTCGTACTAATTATCGTTGCCAGTAGTCAAAGGAATATATTTCCAAATAAATACATAAATAATCTTTGTTCAAAATTTAACACGGTTATGCCTTTTAAGAAGTCGTTAACAGTCTACATAAATGTGTTACATTTATTGGACACAGTTTTTAATTATAGATCAGAATAAACAAAGGGGAACTGTTGAGCGAGTTACTGAAATTTTATAATTAAGAATATTCTAAACGAAAATGTATAGACTCGTTAAGACTGAAGGCGAGTAGCAAACTAATACTTTTACGGGATAAGTTGTAAAAGTAAATGAGAGGAAAAAAAGTTATTTGTATTTTTTGCTTTTTATTGAAAAGTATCGAATAAAATAGCTAATCTAGTTTAGATTACAGAACTTTATAGGGACTTATGATAGTTTAAACTTATCTATCGGGAAGGGGAGGAAGGGTTAACTTCGCTCTATAACGTACATATATCGATAGATAAAAGTACTCCATTAATTTTGGCACTTTTCCATACGTTATCCAGAATGTTTGATTTATTAAGAAGAAACGGGGTATCCGTTTTAGTCAAGTTTTAGTTTTAGTAAAGTTAGGTCACCGGGTTTCGCTACTTAGCTAACAAAACATAATTCAGAATTATCGTGTTGCTATTTTACGCAAGAAGGATTCGTGGTAACTCTAAGTACATGTGCAGTCCGCCGCACATGCACTGGAGCAACGCGGCGGACAAGTTGTATTCCATACCCTCTCAGAAATGAGAAGAGGCCTGTGCCCTAAAGTTGGCGTACAAGAGCTGTAAAATTGATTTTATTAACTATTATGCTTTTATTCTGAGAGACCGTGGTTGCAGCTGGTATCTACGAGTAGTAAGTTTGCCATTATAACTTCGATGTTCAGTGTATTGATTTGATTTGACCGTTATTCGAAGCTTATAGCTATATAAGTTACCACCTATAGTTCTGTCTCTTTCTTTCATATATGTCTAACTCTTTTTCTTCCAACACCATTCTTGTGGCATGTCACAGCGCAAAAGTTTTTAACTTTCATTGGCATCTATCGACTTCCAGCATGTCTTAACAGATCGTCTCCCCATCTAGTGGGGCGGGGGGGGGGGGGGGGGGGCTGCACGATTCACTTTGTGTACTGATAAGGCGTATGCTGCTTTAAGCTTTTGGTTTTTCAAACAGAGAATCATTACCTACACATATCTTGAGTGAACCTTTGGCCTGCTCTGTGTTTTCTGAAGGTGAATTTCACAAAATATCGTCAAATTTGGCTCAGATTATATGCAATCGTGCAAATACGAAGGGATAATACGAGTATTACTAAGCATGTGCAAGACCATGCAAGATAAGATATCACCTTCATGCCAAAACCTGTTCAGTACTGAATCTTTTACGACCACAATGATAAAGCTGGAGGTGTTGAGAAATGTTTCACTAGGTTTCGCTAGGATGTCCACCTCACAAGCTGGATATAATAAAGCACACGGCTTTTCCCCGCAGGGGAAAGCGTATCACAAATAGTCTTCGCAAGACTCGAAATTAGGTGCTAATACGAATTTAAGTAATATTCCTCATACATCGTGTAGTACCGACTCTTTGTTGCCCTCGCAGGGTGTAGTCAGGAAAACTGGCGCTTGGCAAGCGCAGAAAAGTGGCAATGGCCTCCCATAAAGAGCCATTTACACCCGAGGTTCACAAATGCATCAAATACCGGGTGTCCAGTAAGGGTACCGGGTATTTGACAGTTAAATAAAATGAGAAATACAATTAATTAAATATATCCTTTATTTTTAATTAAAATTAAGTTTCTTGGAAATTTATTTGGCGACAAGTACAAGGTAAAGCGGTTGAAGTTAAAAAAAGACAGAACTATAGGCGGAAACAAGCGGCTGCTACGAGTATCTCATATATAGCTATATGAGATTGCAGCCGCTTATAGAAGCTTCGAATAAGGTAAGTAAATTAATATGCGTTTTATTGCTATGTAAAACGCTTCTATTTATGATAGTATCACTAGAAACCTTAGTCTTAATGGATTTTACTAGCTGTATGACAATAGATTGACGATAGGTGTTACACTATCCAAATTTTTTTTACTTAGTTGTACGTTATTTTTTGAACCAGAAACTACACCTCCAAGCACATCGCGTTTTGGACCGAAAGGTTACCTCCTTCCTAGAAAATTTGAGCACGTTGGCAGAGAAATATACAACATGGAAATTAGACCGAGTGATACATTTGTTGTAACTTTTCCTAGGTCAGGTACGTATATGATAAGATAAGTATTGTTGTAATCTATGTACTCCGATAAGTTATCTGTTAAATATAATACATTATTGAATAACATTTTTCGATTATCCAATTTTTTATTATCATTTATATAATTTACTTTCCATCAATTTCATTCCCTTTTTTTAGCCTTGAACTTTTTTAGCCTGGCATAAGGTAAGGACACTAATTTCGGTGATAATTTTATAAAAAACTTGAATGGAGATCGAAATTAAGCATTTATTGTATCCTTTTCAAGGTTTAGCTATTAGATTTTGGCTTGTATTCTAAATTGATTTAATATGAAAAGATGTCGAAGGCACCTTATTCCGATGTATTTAGTTCCTAATTCCGAGTATACAAAATGTAAAGGATTCCGAGGATTTAAAATGTTGTCATGTAGGTATGTGAAAATTTTAGGGGATAGATGCTTTGAATACGTTATAAGCATCCATCCTCGTAATCGATATTAACAGTTCATACTAATGAAAATAAATCTTATTGTCACCTAATATATATATAGCTGATCAATTTTATTTATTTAAATAGTCGTTGTTTTAATACAATAGTATTACAAACAATGTGTGGTTTTCTTTAAAGCAAGATAGCGCGTAAAATAATATTATTAAATTAATGTATGTGAGAATTATTATGCCCTAGCTGTTCCCCACGATTTCACCCGCGTCGATTTTTTTGCACGGTACTCTACAATAAAATTAGTCTAAGTTACTCCTTATAACATCAGATATCTGCCAGTGAAAGTCCCATCCAAATCGGTTCACAGGTTTTTGCGTGATGCGTGTTCACGCCAAAATAGCTCGTAGATGACAGATTTTTTTCAGCCCCGTGGTCGCCCGAAAACTTTGGTTGACAATAACGAACTAAATACGATTATGGAGGCGGATGACACTCAATCTACGGCTGAATTAGCAGCAGTTTTTGCCGTTAGCATCAAAACAATATTTACCCATGTCTTTGACGAATTCGTTGTTCCCGTTCAGCTGATTTCTTCAAACAGGGCATCAGTAAACTGCCACTGCGTTGGCACAGATACATGAGTGATTACTTTGATTAATAGAAATAAAAAAATATAGAAAAAAAAACACATGCAGCCGAAGTTGTCATTCGTAGAAAAAATTTTGATATTCCTTCTTACCCTGTCATTTACTTATTTCATTTTATTTATTTTTATTTAAATAAATTGTACAAATTATTTAAACAAGGCCTTAAACTAAAAATAGCCTGTAAACTAGGATAAGCCTGTACATCTCAGATGTATGTGCTAATAGATACACTATTAACTATTACTTTTTATTATATGTACAATGAATAATTTGCCAATTAATTAGGGTTAATTTTTATAAAATACAAATCATAAATTAACTTAAAATATTCAGCAACTTTTCCTTATTATTTTTCTTTATTATATTATGACAAATTTTCTTACCATGTTTTACATTATTACAATATGCTACTTTTGATGGATATTAGTCTATACATGAAATAACTTGATCGCATTACATTAATGCAAAAACTCTGTATAAGAAAGAATGATTTATTCTAATGTCAGTCAGTTTCAATAACTTTATCTTTGCATTGACCTCTTTTCAATAGGGAAATTTTGGGAGCTGTTTTAGCCTATTCATAACAAATAATTGGCACACTGAGAGGACAATACAGTATTTATATATGTAATGGGTCGGGAATAAGATAGGGCGGAATGTTGCGACATTCATTAAAGATCATTTAGCACATTCCAGTGATAGAAATATAGTTTTAGCTGCTTCTCCCCATGAAGTTACACAATACTTGCTATGCCCGCGATTTTGTTCTCGTGGAATAAGTACTTTTGTTACAATATATGATGACGATTTATTTGTGTTACTTTGAATTGCCACGATGATCTAAAAATACACTTATTTGGACAAAATTTTAAAAATACATACGCTATGCAATACGATAGGCAATATATACGCTAGTGTATCGTATTGTAAATAAACAACAAATAAATCGCAATAACGTAATCGACAATTTGATTCAGGATTTACCTAGCTAACAATTGGTTCCCACACAACAGATAAGAAGTTTCCCTAAATAAGCTAGCTCCATCATTAAGTATTGGCATTACCCACCGCTCACTTAGCCCAGTGAAATTACCGATCAATGGAATGAGAGATAATAAGTTTAATTTTCGTACATACCTTCATTTTGGCGTTCTAAAAGTTAAAACAGAAAGAGAAACAGAAACAGAAACTTTTTCATCCTATATAGATTATAAATAATACTTATTGAAAGTCATTCTTTTGTTTAATTACCACTGGTTCGAAAAAAAGCCTTTGTCCTGGGAAGAACCAGCAAGAAACCCAGTGGAATTTTTTTTAATAATAGCTTACAATTATATATATTACACTATTAACAACAAGTTATAAATAACTTGACAGCAATCACCCGATTACCAGGGTTTATTACATCTAAAATTTTTTTATATAAGCCTTTTTATACAAATATTGTTTAATAAAGTTTTCAAAGTTTTAGCAGGTCAAATTTTGTATATTTTCTAAGACTTTCTTGTCCCTAGTATTTACAGAATGAATATCACTTATTTTTGTAAAACTATTATGTATTGAGAGGCCAAATTTAATATATTAATTTCCTTAAATTTTCGTAGGAGCAACTCTTTAGGTTTTAAATCATAGATTGCTCTTATGGCCCTCTTCTGCAAAACAAATATAATTTCAGTGTCAGTCGCGTGTCCTCATAGCAAAATAGCATAACACATTGTGCTATGGAAATAGCCTAAAGTAAACAAGTCTAGCTGTTTTCACACTGGTAAGATTTCTAATCTTTTTACAACATATGCTGCAGAACTAGGTCTGCTTGCTAGTTTTGATATATGGGGGCTCCATTGAAGCTTCGCGTCTAGTTTGATTCCAAGAAAAATGGTAGTATCGACAAGACTCAGTTCCTCCCCATTATTTAAAATTACATTAGTATTTAATTGTTTGACATTTGGAGTCATGAATTTCATACATTTCGTTTAAGTGCCATTTAAATGCAAATTATTAATATTGAACGTATTTACAAATTTAGATATAGCATTATTTACTTCGTCATATTTTAGTAGTTGTCGTCTTAATTTGAAAATTAAAGAAGTGTCATCAGCAAATAATACTATAGTTATCCCTTACTATGTAAGGTAAGTCATTAATATATATAAGAAATAGAAAGGGACCGAAAATTAAGTCTTGAAGCACGCCAATTTGTACCATCGACCCGGAAAAGCTCATACTATTAATGATAACTTTTTGCGTTCTATTGCTTAAATATGAAATAATTAATTTAAGAGCATCAATTCTTACACTGTAGTCTTGAAGTTTCCTGATTAATGTTTCATGGTGAACACAATCGAAGGCTTTGGATAGGTCACAGAATATACCTAGAGCATCCTGTGAATTATCATATGCATTAAAGATATATTCAATAAGATCAACACCGGAATTAGTTATCGAGCGATCCCTTGTGAAACCAAATTGATTTTTATGAAGTAAATTATTTATATTAAAAAAATTACATTTGATCAAAAATATTTTTTTCATAAATCTTACTAAGTGTTCGTAGTACAGAAATAGGTCTAAAATTGGCGGGATGTATATAATCTAGGTGTATAAATATAAAATTGTCGGGGTGTGTAAAAACACACCAGATTTGACACTAGTATTAAAATAATAGCTAGATGAGGCGCGATGGTATCTATTATAGACACAATAAGTTTAACGAAAATCTCTTACAGATCTGCAGATTTCTTAATATCGATAGTTTTAAAATATTTTTCAATATCTTTTGATGATACTTTATGAAATGTAAAATTATTTGTACACGTATTTACATTTTGTTTAAGCAATGATTTGGGAACGGCAGGAGAAGAATTCAGTGACTTAGTGGTTAATATCGGAATATAAGTAAAATATTTCTCAAAAACCATTACAACGTCCTGATCTGATTCAGTTAATTTGTTGTTAACACTTAACTGGTAGTTTGAATTTCGAGCGGTGATCTTACCAGTTTTGCTATTAATTATACTCCATGTTATTTTAATTTTATTAGAAGCCTGTTCATTAAGCTTAACAAAAACTTCCTCTATAATTTTTTCAAAAGTATCGTATATAGAACAGGGGGTCCGTAGACGCTCACAACAATGAGGTGCTCAAACTCAACACATGCCATTTCTCTAGTTCACTGAATAGGTAGAGTTACAATATCTTTATGTTCTTTACATGATAATAATTTATTAGCTAATATTAAGGAGCCACCTCTTAAAACCTTATCTCTATTGAAAGAACTGACCACCCGGTGATTACTGAAGTTAAACATTAAGTTATAAGCCTTTAACCAATGTTCAGTAAGACATAAAATATGAATATTGTTGCTATTTAAGAAAATCTTAATTTCTAGCTCTTTACCTATTATGCCTTGTATATTTGATGCACCAGGTGTAAACAATTTTTATTATCACTTTGTGGAGTCATACAATTAAAGATTTGTAAGCCATATTCTAAATTATTTAAATTATTATAACTGCTAGAGATTACCTCTATTGTCTCATTTTCTAATTTAAATTACTTGGAACTGATTCCAATTTACATATTAAGTCATTATACCGCACAATACAAGCAGATGTCTGGATGTCTGTGTAGCCAAGTCCTTGAATGAGTTAATATATAAACAATAAGATAGCACATTTGCTGTCTAAATTACATTTAAATAGTTAATACCTATCTATAGTCAAAAATTAATTAATTAAATTATTTATGTCTATACAAACAAACAAACAAAATATTATCTCTTTATAATATTATTATTATAGCACAGAAGTGAGTATCGATTGACATAATATGGAATATATTATATACACTTGTTTTATTATCTTAATCAGCAAAAAGAAGAATCTTTTTGTAAACAAACATTTATTTAAGGTGTCAGTGTGTTTTTAAAAG